GGTTCCCCCTCCCCGCGCTGTGCAGCAGTTTCCCCGGGGGCCTGCAGGGCCGGGGGGCCTTGGGGGGCCGGGCGGTGAGCAGGCCTCGGCCCCCCAGACCCGGCGGAGCTGGGGCCCTGCCTCTTCGCGGAGACGCTGGCGCTGGTGGATCTGGGCGGGCGCCCGTGCGGGGAGCTGCAGCTCTCGGCCCAGCTGGGCTCCTACGGGCACCCGGACGGGCGGGACGAGGCCTGTGTGCTGGTGCGGGCCAGGAGCCAGGCCAGCGTGGACGGCGCACCCTGCGGCACCTCCCTGCACGGTGGGTCTGGGGGCGGGGGGCTGCTCATGGGACCCCTGCCTTGGGCCTGGGATGTGCCCCCATCAGAGACGCCCCATGCCCCTGGGGTTCCCCCCCAAAGGGCTGGCACAGCCAGTTGGTGCCCCTCTGGCCATCCCCTGGGCCCCGGGCTGTGGTGGTGGAATTTCCCAGCATGCACCAGCCTTGTACCCCCCCAGTTCCCCTCATGCACTAGCCCCGTGCCCCCCCAGATCTCATGGCTGTGGCATTTCCTAGCATGCACTGGTCTTGAGCCCCCTAGTTCCCATCATGCACCATCCCAGTGCCCCCCAGACCCCAGCATCACAGCTGTGGAGTTTCCCCCTTGGCTCCTTCCTGCCCCCAGCCCCAGAGGGTCCTTTCTGCCCCCAGGGCCAGAGGCAGGGCAGTTGGGTGGGGGTGGGGGGTACCCCGGCCTGGCACCCCCACTTGCTGCCCCAGGCACAGCCAGGCCGGGCTCCCCTGACCGTGGCCCCGTCCCCACCCAGCCTTCGTGTCCAAGAAGCTGGAGACCCTGGAGCAGCACCAGCACGAGTATGTGAAGGTGAGTGCCTCCGCTGCAGTGCCCAGAAGCATGCGGACACTGTGGGGGAGAACCCCTGCCCCCCCACGGCTGTGCCCGGCCCCTTCACCCACTGTCCCCATGCAGCTGCCCGGGCACCCCATGGACAGGACGACACAGCTGGTGCAGCGCGGGGGCAAGATCCTCATCAGCTGCAACACGGTGGAGGGAGAGGTGAAGGGGAGCCCCCGGGCTGCGCCCGAGCGCG